ACCCGGGGCCGGTCGGCCGGCCGGCAGTCAGTCGCTGCCCGGGGCTGATTTCTGAGGGACCTGCAAAAATGTTTATTAATGAAATGTTTTACGTAATAAATTAGATGATTAGGTATATGTACCGGCTCAGAGTCGCATTTGAGAAAAAAAACAGCCCAGCGTAAACATATATATGTTTTGAAAATTAAGCTGGTACCGAAATAATTGTTTTACCATGCATTGACAAACCAATTGCTCAAGCTTCAAACCAACCGAAATATAGCCCCGTGGGCCGTATTTTTTTTTTGGGGGGGGGCCTTCGGCATGGGGGGCCCAGTTCGAAGGTCGTGCCCCCCCCTTTCAAAAATCCTGTGTGCGCGCCTGATTGCTGACCATAAAACATACGACAAACGTTAACTTTGCAAACTATCATCTTATTTCCAATAACGGCACTGCTTATTTCGCCTCACCCCCGCCCCCCCCCCCCCGGTAACAGGTTATGAAATTGGTTGAACCCCAAAACAGTGGCTGGATCCACCCTTGGGCAGGGGAGTAGCGAAAATTTTGCCCACCCAGTGAAAAATCCTTAGAGGAGGCCCTGCGTCTGCATGGGCTGTTTGGTCGCACCCCGTCACCTGACCCCTCCCTCCCTCCTCTACAGTGGACGGCCTCACAGTTAATGAAGGTCATCCCCCTCCCTCCCCGCCCGACGCGGTGTAACTCCTGCCAAACTCGCCCAAACTCGGAAAATCCGCGCTCGGTCGCCGGCCCGGCTGAGCCACGGCTGGACCGGGACGGCGGTCAGCCATGCGCGCAGTATCGGACAACTCTGTCCCGGTAACGTGTTGGATCAGTGTCGACGTGATCCACTCTCAGGTGCCGGGCTGGCGCCCCGGGAGGACGCGCGTGACCCCACGTCTTGACGTCGTGACGCGACGGACGTGACGTCATCCGGTCGTGACGAGACGCCGTGTCTGTGACGTGACTGGGCTGGCGGTGAGCCGGGAGGCACCTCCATCGGGCGTGGCGTGACAGACGAGATCGGCCCGCGCCCTCGGAATGGTCGTCTGCCGCGGCACGCCCAGGTAGATCGAATTGAAACTTCCTTGTCAAGATTGACGCTTCATGGGCATAGCTCGGATAGTGATGAATCAATCACGGGCTGTCGCTAACTGTTGTAGATCAGCGAGTAGTTAGACCGTCCTGTTGGCGTGTGACCGTCGATAATCCACCGTCGTTCCTGGGTGGTCCCTCTCTATCGTCCGCGGCGAGTGGTGCGCGCTGTAATTCCGCTTCAACACCTCGTCTGTCGCCGCCGCCGGCCGCCCGGCGCAATGAAAAGCGTGTCGGCCGGGAGACTACCGCCATTACTCTCCCAAACAAACTGGTTTTGGCCGCCAATTGGCGCTTCTCGGTGCTGCAGAGCGGCTCCGCGGAGGCGGGCGCTGCTCCGAGCGATGGATGCAAAACGGTGGGGCGTGTCAGCCGACGGCACTGATCGCGACTGATTCCGCATGGGCCCGCACTGGCTAATGGCCCGTTCGGAGCGACCTTGGGGTAAATGCTCCACCGGGAGCTACTTTGTCCGTGAGTACTGGTCGTATACCGAGCTGTCTCAGCTTTGGTAATCTCCGCCGGAATAATGTAGAAATGCCACCGGCTGGGTGGCGCTAATCCAGACAGTCTGACCGAGAAGCTTGTCCTGACCCACCAGACACTCAGGCAGGTCTCTCGTCAGCCTTGGACAGTTGCAGACTTCAGCATCACACTATGCTATTGGACATATTAACGCGCGATCGCTGGCGCCCCGACTGAATGAAGTGTGCCAGCTGCTGCAGAGTGAGAGGCTGGAAGTGCTCTGTATCTCGGAGTCTTGGTTATCAGAAGACGTCCTCGACGGCGTTCTCCTGGTGCCGGGCTACCGGCTGCTCAGATGCGACCGGTCGGGAGGCCGTCGAGGTGGTGGCGTCGCCATCCTGATCTCCGAGAGTCTCCGGGTGACGCGACTGCATGACTCCAGCGACGGCGACACCGGCGTGGAGGCTCTGTGGCTGTCGGTCGGTGGTGCCGGCCGAGCTCAGGTGGTGGTCGGCGCCATCTATCGGCCACCGGGGACACTAACAGCCCGATTGCGCGATGCTCTGCGCGGACAGTTTGAGATGGCGCTCGCAGTGGGGAAGCCTGTGTATGTTCTCGGTGATTTTAATGTTAACCTTTTAATCGGTGATTCAGCTGACTCTGTTCATTTTAATTCGCTCTTGCGTGATCTTAATATGTCTCAACTTATTACTGAGCCGACACACCCTCACCCAGTGCCTTCGCTTTTAGATTTAGCCATTACAAATGTATCATCTCCCGACATTCATGCTTCTGTTCTTCCCCATCTCATCGCGGATCACCTTCCTATTGTTATCAGGCCCTCGGCCCCTCGGCAGCGTCGTCCCCCGGTTAGCTCGCGCGCGTGGCATCGTGTTGATTGGGAGGCATTCTCCACGGATATCGTACATTCCGACTGGGGACCTTTTTACACTGCCGCCGATGTAAATGATAAGTTAGCCATTTTTATTCATATCTGGAACTCTGTTGCTGATGTTCATTGCCCTGTCGTGCGCAGAACGGTGCGACGTCCCGCCTGCCCCTGGCTGCGTGACGAGTCTGTCAGGGAGGTCATGGCGGAGCGGGACGAGGCGCGGCGGGTGTGGGCCGCCTCGGGTTCAGTGACTGACCGTGACGTTTATAGGCGGCTCCGCAACAGAGCAAAGCTTCTTTTATCGCGTGCACGCAGATCTTACCTGACTGATTCGCTTCAATGCGACGCGAGGCGTTTCTGGAGCCGTCTGAAGCAGTACGGTGCTGACTTGTCTGCGAGAGGCTCCAAAGGCGCACAACCACCCGATGACGACACACTGAGCGCTGACCAGCTCAATCGGCACTTCGCTGGTGTCGGCGCTCGTGTGGCAGCTGAGGCCGTGCGGGCCGTGCAGGGGACTGAGACCCCGCAGCTGGCCCGCGACCTCCCCGGGTGTGTTCGAGCGCCTTCACTCTGACTTGTATTACACTGCCTGACCTGATCTTGACCGTGAGCCGGCTGAGTTCGTCGAGAGCTGTCGGGGTTGACGGCATCCCTATCACTGCTGTCAGGAGCTGTCTCCCTGCAGTCGGTCCGCTCATCCTTCACCTCATCAATTCCTCCATATCCACCAGCACCTTCCCCGACGCATGGAAAGTTGCCATTGTTACCCCCATCCTTAAGTCCGGTGACCCCAACCAGCCAGGCAACTACCGTCCTATTTCCATCCTCCCAGCGCTTTCCAAAATCCTTGAAAAGGTTGTGTGTTCCCAGCTCACTTCCTACCTCGTCACTAACCACATCCTTTCCCCATCCCAGTATGCCTATCGCCCATCCCACTCCACCGAAGATGCCATACTCGACGCTGTCGAATGGGCGGCTCGCAGGATCGATGACGGTGACGTCGCGGCGGTAACGTCAATCGACCTGAGCAAGGCGTTCGACAGTGTCGATCACTCGGTGCTTCTGAACAAGCTCGAGTGGTATGGCATCTCATCCCGTTGGTTCAGCAGCTACCTCTCCGGCCGTTCCCAACTTGTCCGCTCCTCGACGGCACTCCCACTCTCCCACGGCGTCCCCCAAGGGTCCATCGTGGGTCCCATCCTCTTCCTCACCTTCGTCAACGACCTAACCTGTTTCCTCCCCCATGGCCGCCTCATAGGTATCCTACGCGGACGACACCCAAATCCTGGACTCAGCACCCTCCAATCCCACTGACATCCAAGTGCTGAAGTCCCGGGCCGAGGAGAACATCCAGCACCTCCAGCACTGGTTCAGCTTGAATAGTTTGAAAATGAATGGGGAGAAGACCTGTTTCACCCTTTTCGGCACGCAAAATTCAGTTGATAGAGTTGAAGACTTCGCCATTAACGTAAATGATGTAACTATACGGCCAACAAAACATATCAAAGTGCTGGGCGTTCTCCTCGACCAAACCCTGAGCTGGGAGCCACACATATCCTCCATCATCCGCCGGTGCAACGCAATCCTCATATCATTATTCAAAATTCGTCATCACCTCTCCCCAGACATCCTTAAAATCCTTGTCCAAACCCATGTTTTCCCCCACCTCCAGTACTGCTCGTCAGTCTGGGGTGGTGCCTCCAAATCCCGCCTGGACCGACTGCAGAAGGTCATACATTTTGCCGCACGACTGGTCTCTGGTCTCCGTAAATTTGACCGCATCACCCCCGCTCTCGGCGCGCTCGGCTGGCCCAACATTGGGGAAGTGATCGCGCGCAGGGACGCAGTGAATGTGCATCGCGCCCTGTATGCCGCTGGTGCCCCTGACTCGCTACGGGCAATGTTTCGCCCACGAGCCGTCGTCTCAGAGAGGGCCACGCGTGCCACCGCTGCGGGCTCGGCGGTGATCGACTTGCCCCGAGTCCGCCTGGCGGTGGCTCGGCGGCAGTTCCCGTACAGAGCCGCGGCGGCTTGGAACGGGCTGCCGCGAGAGGTGACAGGGACCGCCTCCAGGGCACAGCTGATGCGGTTCTTCCGATAGAGACATGTCGCCACCTGAGTGTTTTTTTTTTAGTACCATTGTACATTTTGTGTGTCTTTTACTATGATGATTTTTGTGACTTAGGTACTCTCATATTGCTTGTATTGACTGGGCCGTAATAGCCACCTGTGGATCAGCCCTAATAAACGAATTACGAATTACGAATTACGAATTACGAATTACAGTCGTCCTCTGAGGAGAATCTGCTCGGGGGCGCTGGTCAATTCCCACTGGAAGCCATGTGCTTTAGTTTCCGTGCAGCTGCCCACGTGGACGTCACTCATCACGAGTTGAGTTGAACAGAGAGCTGAGGGTCCGTTCAGTCCACGTGGTTTGTGTGGTTATTCTCGTCTGTCCACGTGGAGGTCGCTCAGCCCTCGCAGCTGTTTGGCTAGGTCAGCTGAGCTGAAGACCCGTTCTCCTCCCGTGACTGCAGATCGGTCGGCTGAGTTGAGCAGCTCCTCCCGTGACCGTGAGTCGTTCGGCCACCCACTCGTCTCTCGCGGCGCGCCGTGCCGTGTGCGGCCAGGTGGAGCCGCCGGCGGCACCGGCTGCTCCCCTGGCACGGACCGCACTGCCGCCGCCGCCGCCACCGCGGCTCAGTCTTCCGACGAACGTCGAACCGGCAACACGGTGAACGTCTCTCTGCAAAACCGACAGAACACCTGTCGCGGGTGACATTAGGACCGAACCACGTGGAAGTGTGAGACACCACGTGCCGACCCGAGCCGTTTCGTGTCACGTAGCATCCGGCGCCACGTGCCACCACGTGCCGTTCCGTGTCCCGTGCCGTGCAGCCTTCCAGACGGTCTGTATTTACCTGTGCGGCGCCCGCTAAGGTGACTGGCGGGTGGGTAGTGACTGTGTGAAATCCTCGGACGGCGCCGGCGCCGCCCGCGGTGATTGTCATTCGTCCAGGAGGCAGGAGCTCTCCATCAGCTCCTGTCGGCGGGGCAGCGCGCACGGGGCGGCCAGTCGACGGCAGTGGGAGTGGAGACAGTCGACACGGTCCGCGCTGACTGAGACAGAGCTGAGCGTGAGGATTAGGGCGGTCAGGAGGGGGCCGTGAGCTGTCAGTGGTGCCGTGAGCCGTGTGAGATCGCTGTGAGCGCCGTGTGAGATCCGGTGAGCCGGCGGGTGAGAGGGGCCGTATGGTGCGTCCCGGCCCGCCGCCGCCGGGGCCATGGTGACTGGTAAATGATGCGTGCGGCCGGCGCCCACTCGGCCCTGCTCCCGCTGCTGTTGGTGATGGTGACCGTGACGTGGTGCTCCCGGCTGGTGCCGCGCCGGTAAGTAGCTGAAGATCGCCGCACCTTTTCCAACTCCACCCTGCATCTCGCCCAAATCACCGCCACTGCATCACACCTACACTAAGGCATGAGGACGTAGGTGACGAGCCACCCATTTGGCATGCTCTGGGAATCGGTAATCGCTGATCTCTCGTCATTAGAAATAAGTGTTGACATTCTTTTGTTTATTTTGTGCTAAATTTCTTGTCATTCTACATCCCTAAAAATGTGACTGAGAGTATATACGGCCTCGGACTGAGGTGGGTCAGGGGCCAAGAGCTGGGCCAGGGTGGGCGATAATTGATGACAATTGACATTTTGTGCGCTACGGTGATTGGTCTCGTGCTATGCTTTGATTCCGGCGATTGCCTCATGGCATGTTATCGTCTATCAGCTGTAAAATCACGCAATGATAAATTGCATGCTCACGGACCATTCTGAAACCGCTAGTATCAACATCCCACGAAAACAGGATGACCGAACTGAATTGAGCTGGGCAGCATGATTTATCAAAGTACTATCGACTTTTGGCTGACAGGCTAAATAAATTTAGAATAAAATCATTCCAAATATTTTCTTGTTTTAAGTTAATGGCATTCATCGATTCAGTTTGCATACAACCTCGATAGTCACGATTTATGTAGAAAAGAGCGTTTGCCAGTGTATTTTGTTTCCTAAATTTACATAGATTTCCACGGTTTTGTGTAATTTACAATTCTCAATATGTTATCGCCGCCGAGATGGATGTCATCGGTTGTCGAGATGGCTGTCAGCGGCCGATCTGCCGGTGCCAGGAATTTGGAGTGCTGCCGCGATGAAAATACGGTGGTTTAGTGGTGCTGAGCGGAGCGGCAGCGGTTCGCGGTACCACCACGCCCCGGTGACACGAGCGGTCATTGTGCTCCGCCGTGACAAACCGGCCGATCCATGCGCGGTGACGGACAGATGTCAATTTCCCCGCCCCCAGTCGGTAGTGACTGAGGCGACAGTGTGTCAGCGCCGTGTAGGTACGACAGGGGAGGGCCGAAAGGGCACGCGTGGGGCCGAGACGGGACGGTGACGGATGGCCGCCTGAAGTGCCAGTGACGGCCGCGCGTTTCGCTGACGACCCGCCCGCTGATGGGAGGGGTTGATAAGTTGTTGTCGATGAAAAGGATAAGTGACTTTGGATTTATTGAATTCCGATCATTTTCAAACAACGATTCGTTCTAAGGGAACGTCAGTACCGACACCAGTCTGGATGCAATACAAGCGGCTATACTCTCTCTCACGTATCTCACTGTCTCTCACTGTCTAACCGTCTCACAACTGAGTGGCCCAGTAGTGTGGGCAGCCGCACCGTTTAGCGCCATGTCTGACACTGTATCTGGCAATAATCTCCCGCCCCGCCGTCGTGACCCGTGAATTTGTCACATAATCGTGAGCAATGGCTCAGGTAAAATACCCCATACACTCCAGTTCACTGATGTTGTGCGACCGTTTCTTGCGAGTCAACTATGTGTTTGGCTCGCTAAATGCATAAAAATGAGGGGTGGCTCGGAGCATTGCGAATCCAATCAGCCCACAATCAAGATTTCTGACGTAATCGATAACTTTTCCGCGGCATCAGAACGGCTTTCTCTAGATTCAACTATAAATGATTGCATTTAGACGTTTTTGTCACAGCAGATCACCTACTAATCGTGTAGAGCACGAAGTAAGAGGCAAGAGCATAGCATGATACTCAAGGTAGGCATAGGTAATATAGGTTGATGTAGGTGTGCTTATATGCTCCACGGAACAGTATGTTTTGTTCATTAATAGCTTAGATAAAAAAGAAATTGTGGACCTGTTGGATAATTCATGAATTGATCATGACGACAGACAACAGAGTATGTCTTTATGTCCGATGACAACGTTCTCAAGTCCTCTTCTCCCTACCCATGCCACGTTCGCAGAACCGGATAGTGGATAGAACAAAATTCAACAGCACGAACCCGCCCATAAATGAGGGCCTCAGTACCGGAAACTTAGGATAATTGGTGATCTAAAAAACAGCGGCAGATTACGCTTGTAACAATAGTTAGGTTCAGCTACCTAATACCTATAGTTTCATCAATGAATGTTGGAAATACTAGCGATTAATCGCAGTAGGTAGGTACTTAACTTATTATCTGAGGAAGTATTTAGATAAAGTAATTAGTTTCAATTCGTCAGGCTAACGAGGCATTCAACCTCGTTACTAGGTCCATGACTAGTCGCGAAAGCAATAATAACTTCAGAACATTTCTCCTAGTAGGTAATTCGAATATTCATTTATGAAGAGCAATGCAATTAGCATATGGGTAATGGGTGCATATGGGTAAGAATGTTAACAACCGATGGGTGTTAGGTTTAACATGAGTTACCTTGTACTTGCATTTCATTATGCATAAGCAAATAATAAAAGACAGGTTTGCCGCTTGATAGTTCAACAGGCTAATTATTGTAGCTAATAGGTCTGGTGCAGAACTCGTCTTGGTAACTCCGAACGCATCAGGTATAGGGGTCAGTGGCGGCGGAAGGTAATTTTGGATGGGGGTGCAAAGTTTTCTCAAGGGGCCCCTCTGAAAGTTTTGGGCCCCCTTCAGTTTTTTTGGGTGATTATTATTGATTTATCAAAAACGAAGATTTTGGAAAACTATCCCCATACACACAAGTTCTGTAAAATGTTTGAAATTGCAGTGTACCAACTTATCTCAAATAATGAAAGCATAAAGAAGCAAATGCAGCTAGTTTTTAGTCTAGCCACCACCCGCAGCGTCTCAAACCACTTTTCTGGATCCACAGTGGACCATTGAGGGCCCTACAAGACCGTTCCAAGAAGACCGTGTTTAGAAGCCCCTTGGAAACCGACCACATAGAGACTCCTCCAGAGACCTACATGACTCCCCAGACTGAATGAGCTCTCTGATCATGGTCGGTCCCTTGAAAGTCGCTGAAAGGTTTCAGAAGGCAGTATAGGCTCATAAGTCTTTTGAGGGCTCTCAGAAACCGGCATCGGACCCCCCAAAAAAGCCTGTATGGAGGCCCTCCAAAGCCGGGATAGATGCCACAGGAGCCGATGTTTAGCCTAAAGAGCCGGTGTGGAGGACTGAATGTAGGAAAGGGGTCTCAGTGGGGCCTTCAGGGGCAAGCGTTTGAGCCCCAAAAGTATGTGTGGGGTCTTAGAGGCAGGTAGACCCCTGGGGTATGCACGGGGTCCCAGGAGCTCAAGTGTGAGCCCTAATATTCGGCTGGCGGCTACTCGAACCAGCATGGGGATTCTTAGAAGCCGCTTAGATACACATTTCATGGGTCATGAGTCCCAAGAGTCTATGTAGGGGCCATAAAAGCCGGTGTAGGGCCCATGGCCCCATAAGTTCCGACATTGAGACTCTCAGAGGCCGGCGACGGGGCATCAAGAGCAGATAAAGTGCGTCAACAAGCCGACATGGGGCCTGAGAATCCGTGTGGAATTCCAGGAGCCTGCGTGAGCTCTCGGAGACCTTCGTATTTCGTAAGGTCCACAAAGGTCGTTGGATCCTCTGAATCTCAACTCTGCGGGGCCCTCAGAGGCCAGCATGTCTCCTGACACCTGCCTGCGTTGAGTTGAGACCCTCCGAGGCCGTCGTAGGGTTCTTCAGAGGCCAGCGTTGGCCCCTTGAAGCCTTCGTTAGGTCCTAGAAGCCGTCAAGAGGGCCCTCAGAGGTCAGCATGGCCCCTGGAGCCTGCCTGCGTCGAGGCTCTCAGAGGCCGTCGTGGGGCCCTCAGACGCCAGTGTGGGCCTTTGGAGCTTGCGCTGGGTCTTAGAGACCATCTTGAGGGCCCAGAGAGGTCGTCGTCAGGGCCCTCAGCCCCTCAGGGACAGTCCTGGGGTGGGGTCCTCAGAAGTTGTTGTGAGGGAGGGCCCTTTAGAAGCCTTCGAGAGGATCATCAGAGGTCGTCATGAGGGTCCTTGGCCATATTGAGGGTCTTCATGGGCCCTCAGATACCTTTGCAGGGCTCTCATAGGCCTTGGTAAGACCGCTAGAGGCCATCGTTGTTAGGGCCCTCAATAGACCGTTGCAGAGCCCTCAGATGCCAGCATAGCCCCTGCAACCTGGTTGTGTTGGGGCCCTCAGAGGCCGTCGCTGGGCCGTCTGAAGCCAAATGGGCCCTCAGACTTGAGTTGGGTCTAGGGCCGTCACGAGGGCCCTCAGAGACCGTCGTAGAGGCCCTCAGAGGCCAGTAGGGCCCCTGGAGTCCTGTGGGACCCTCAGCGGTCGTCATGAGGGCCCTTACTGGTCGTTATAGGGCCTCAGGGGACAGAGTTCGTCGTGAGAGCCCTCAGAGATCATCGTAAGGGCCCTCAGAGGCCGTCATAGGGGCCATCAGAGGCCAGCGTGGCCCCTGGAGTCTCCTTGGGCCCCTGGAGTCTCTGTGGTACCTTCAGCGGTCGTCATGAGGGCCCTTAGTGGCCGTTGTAGGGCCCCAGGGGGCAAAGCCCTCAGGTGGGAGCCCTCAGAGATCGTCATAAAAGGGCCCTCTGAGGCCGTTGTGGGGGCCCTCAGATGCCACGTGGAGCACCAAACGCGGCTAGGAACATTTCTAGCCGGTGTGGGGCCCCAAAGACTAGCATGCAGGGGCGCTCCTGACCATAATTGGACATCCCGGATGATTCCACATCAGTGTTCGTTTCCCGATCACTGGTTTTAAAGAGAAAATGTATTTGATGGTGCGACGGGCCCCTTGTACGAATTTTGGGGGTGCAAAAAGATATGTTTGCACCCCCATGTTTTTCGATGGGGGTGCAGCTGCACCCCCTGCACCCCCTATTCCGCCGCCACTGATAGGGGTAGGAGTAGACGTTGCCTGTTCAGTACCAAGACTTTGGACTTACTTCATCTTCGGAGAAATACGAACGAAACGCACTTCGATGAAATCACTTGGCGAGACAGGATTTCGGCATGTCTTTCTAGAAATACAGCATAAAATTGCATCCTCTCTGTACAGTGCTTAGT